GCCATAAGCCCATAAAAATAAAACTGTCTGCGATATTTTTCTCTTCCTTTTCAGATTTTAAAAATTATGTGTGGGGGGGGGGTTGGTAAATGGATGGAGAGGTGAATGGAGAGATAGAAATAAAGTACTGTAGATACATACAGTGAGGGATTTCAAAGTAGGCATCTTGTCAGAACCAGGACAGCTTATGGCTAACAAAATACATGTTTTCACAAAGCTTATTTTCTGATTTGTCAGGCCCTGACTGTAAATATCTGGTAAAATTACAAGGAAGAATATATGGAGAACAGAGAGAAAAAAAAAAAAAAACTTCCCACCTTCTTCACAAGTAGAAACAGTTTCATTACCTCTTCACTTCCTCTTTATTAACCTTCTCCTTGTTAACAGATATAAAATTCTTCATGCCATAACTCAACTCTTATCTGTAAGCAATTCCAGTTAGCAATGTTTTTTTCCCCCTCTCAATCCAGGTCTCTGGGATTGGTATTTTTATTTCCTTTTTAATTTTAAAAGCCTCATCTGGTTTTTTATTATTATTTTGTATATTCACTGATAAATTCTAGTTTATATTGTTGTCAGATAGGTTTTATTCAGAATCTTTTTCTGTCACAGTTTTTTCTAGGAATAGAAGAACACCGCTGCCATTATTGATACAAAGTCTCCGTGCAATTCCTCAAAAATAACTCTGAATGCCATTACAAGTTACTTATCTTATTATGTCCCCAATAACAAAAATAATTTTGCTTTGTCACAAAAAGGCATTTATTCTTTAAAATTAATTTTAAAAGTCTTAAAATGCAAAATCATATCTTCTAATGCTTTCTTAATTCATTTAAAACTTTCTATAGGTAAAACCTTTTTACTGTTTATTTTAAATTCTTAAAGCTTATATAGTTTCATTTTCTTATATGAAGAATTGAGGGCCTTGTCATTTTGCAGATGTCTAACTTCTTTAAAGTAGTTAATGGGCATTTTCTGAAAGTAGTTAGCAAAGGACGTGCTAACTCAGTATATTTTTAAAGCTGTTGGAGCAAGAATGGCAAATTCCCTCATCTCCTGATTTTCCCCCATCTTCCGGAGACTGCTGCCTTGCAATCTCCTTGTGAGGAGTAACCGTATGGAGAACAACATGGACAATCTCTCCTATTGTCTTTCTCCAGAGAGGGCCAAAGAAGATAGGGTCCTTGACCTTAATCACAGTCATCAGCTCCAGTTTTTGCTTGAAGCAATCTGGAAACCACTGTGGTTGGCACAGAAAACGTAATTCTGTCAAAAAGTCAAATAATGTCTTCTTAGACAATCAGGCTACAGATATCTATGCAGATTCTCAATCACCTAGGTCATGGTTTTCTCAAAGGTACTTTTCAATAGGCAACTGACAGAGCTGAAGAAGCTTCTTGGATGAGAAGCAAAATATTTTCAAGGAAAGAAGAAAAAAAAACAAGAAATCCAGTTGCCTTTTGAAAAGCACCTTTGGGACAATCAGATTACAACTTTCTACAATTCCAAGGGGATAATGTGCGAATCCATTCACATATTGGGAGCATTACCACACAAGGGGCAAGGGAATTGATTACATTGTAACAACTGGACCTTTTGACTCAGCCTATAAATGCCACTGGCTGACAACAAGATAGGGCAGTAGTGGCGAACCTATGGCACGGGTGCCAGAGGCGGCACTCAGAGCCCTCTCTGTGGGCATGTGTGCCATCGCCCCAGTCCTAGGCCTTCATCTGGGTTTTATAAAACCATTTCGCTTTAGGCCTCCACCACCGTGTGCAAAAAAAAAAAGGTTCAATCAATCAGTCAATTTCAACTTCTCGCGGGAAAAAAAAAGATCTTGCAAAGTTGGAATTGATTGATTGAACTTTTTAGTCCCACCCAGTCTGCTGTTATCACCACAGCCACGCCCACCCAATGAGCCACACCCACCCGGCACCCGACGATGCATAAGTGGGGTTTCAGTTGCAGTCTGGGCACTTGGTATCTAAAAGGTTCGCCATCACTGAGATAGGGGAACATACAGAATGCAACAGCATTCTGGGAGAAATCCAAGACCTCTAACCCAGTGGTGGAATTCAGCCAGTTCGAACCAGTTTGGCAGAACTAGTAGCTAATTTTTTGTTGCCCAGGCCCAGAATGGACTTCTGGAAGTGGCATCCACACAGAGAACTGATTGTTCACATATTTGAATCCCACCACTGCTCTAACCCAAGGCGTTTCAACCAGTGGTACGGGTACCACCTGTGGTACATTGGCACCTGGCAGGTGGTACGCGACCATCCTAGAAAAGTGGTAGCGGGGGAGGGTAATAAGCTGAACCAGTGGCAGCACCGCACAAACCTGAGCGAGAGATGGCTGGAGCTGCAGGGCTGTCAGGGCTCAGCGGAAGCGCCAGCATCAGCACCAGGCTCCTGCTGGAGCTTAACGCTGATCCTGGTGTTTCTGCTGAGCCCAGAAGAAGCGCCGATCAGCTGCAACATCTCCAGGGTCTTGTGATTTACATTCAGATGCTTGACAACTGATTCATATTTATGACGGTCACAGTGTCCCAGGGTCATGTGAAGTGAGCAAAACCTGCTGCAACCACCCAGCAGACGGGGAATAAAAACCAAACACCCCCCCACCCCACCCCCACTGCCAATCCTCAACAGAAATGCCTCACAACAATGAAAACCTCAGACAGGAGGAAGAGCACCACAGGCAAGTGTCTTGCTCGGCTGTGGCTTGGGGGGCACTTTTTTCAGTGCCATTGTAACTTCGAACAGTCACTAAGCAAACTGTAAGTCGAGGACTACCTGTACTTCATCAGTTTTTTCCTTTTTTTTTTTTTTTTTGGTCATCAAGTTTTTGACACTTTGCTAGGCGACTGGTGGTATTCGGATATTGCCATATCCTAAAAGTGGTACAATGGGTGAAAAGATTGAAAAGCCCTGCTCTAACCCACCACCCTGCAGACTCAGCCCAGCTCTAATAATTTGCCATTAACCATAGGAATTCTTGCAAAGTTGTAATCATTCAGAACAAAAGGATTTCAAGGGCTAGAATTAATGGACTCACCTGATCTGGGAAGGGACAATAAACTTAGGAGTTAACTGACAAGATGATATAATAGCAAAATGAATGTTTTTTTGGCTACTACATCTGTTTACTTAATTCACTGCATATACTTTTAAAGAGATTTTATCATGTCAAGTAATCTATTTAAATGTATTTTGACTGTTTCTCTAATACTGAAAATATTAGATTCCCGTGCTTTACAAACTCTACATCCATTGCCATAAAACAGATCTGGGTGAAAGGGAGGTCCTGTCAGTGGCATCACATTTGCCAGAAATATGAAAGTGGATTTAATTTGAAACTTTCTCTATACTGATTTATGGTTGAAGATTACTCAACTGAAGATTGAGTAATTAACTTAAGATATTTGATGACTTGGGGCTGTTTATTTATTGTTGTAATTATTTTATTAGAAATATTTTTATAAAAGCCATCCACTACTTCTTTTGTTTGTGTTATTGGTAATCTTGTGGGATAATAGTTCTAAAAACATATGAAATTATATTCTGGATTTTTTTTTCAAAACAAGTAAAATGGACAATATATTTTATGACATATGTAAAATAATTCATAGAAAATTATTGTTAGCCATTGCACTGGCATTAATAAATTAGCTAATTGATTCACTGAATCATTTAGGGTTTTTTCTTGCATATATTTGCAGTTTTATTTTTTTAAATAGCTAGATACATATACTGTATGTAGCATATTTTAAAAGAAATAGCACATATGGTCCAGATTATCATTTTTTTTTCTTAATTCAATGAGATTTAATATTTTCATAAGTTTACATTTAACTCAATCATATGAGAGTTGAATTCTGGACAAAAAAAATAGATTTACAATCAAAATATGAATTGTTCAGCATTAGAAAGATAAATATAAGGCTCCAACAATTCTGTGGTTTAGAGAATTGATTAATATAGAAAACCATGGATGGCTGTAATGAATCATGGCTTCAAGTTATTGATATGTATTGCTATACATTATTTTTTTCAGCTGCCCCACCTTCTTTTAAAATTTTTGTATTTAGTTATTAAAAATAAAAATAAAAGCAGCATTTTATATTATACGACCAAATGTAACAAAATAGCAGTTTGTACAAATTCAGAATTGTACTTCTAAAAAGAGACTAAAACCCAGCCTACAGCTAGGCTTTCACCTGATAAATAGCCATTATTATTTAGGCTGCTTTGACAGGAATGCAACTAAAAATTTCCCCATTTATTCTCATCAATAAAGAGTTACATCTTAGCACCAATTTTATTTTACTTCCAATACCACATTCGTATTATAAAATACATTCTAGGGAAGCAACATGTTCCTTCAGCCATTTCCTCTCTTAGAAAGGTGCAATGCTTTATAAAAAATTATAAAGGGTTCAATCCAACATCCAACCTTCTGCCATTAAAAAATGAGGCAAATAGAGCCCCATTACATTTTTTATAATGTCCAAAAGTTTCTGGAGCAAAAAATATTGTGAGATCCACAGCCAGCGGTAAATCTTTTTCTTTAACTAAAACCTTTGTCTCTTATTTGATCCCTTAAGAGGGAGTTTTAGGAGCTTGGGAATTTTTCCCAGTAACAACAACAAAAGGGCAGAAACAAAAAGAGAACGTATATGTTGTTCTCAAAATGAACCACAGAAAACTACTTGACTTGTCTCTTCTCCACATGTTCTTCCCAGAGGAACAGTGATGGAAAGTGACCTGTTTGCTGAACTAATGGGAAGTCTGAGACAAATTTTGGATTAGCTGAGCTCAGCATCTGGAAAAGCTGCAGCTAATTAGCTCCATTAAAAGCCTGGTCCTAATAATTCACAGAGGAACAAAGTAAGTGTAGTCACAACTGTAATACAAAGATGGATGCAGTAGTGGGACGATAAATAGGGACTGGAACATTACATTATAAAATATAAGGGGCACATATATCCTACTCACGTTTATGATTTTCATTTCTGTGGACAGGTGGTGAACGTGTCTCCTGTTCTCGAGCATCATCCCCTTCCTCACTAGCAAGGTGAGTGTGAGCATAGTGATAGCTCAGTCCTGGTCGATTCTTATAGCGCTTGCCACAGACTACAAACACAGAAGATGCAGAGAACAATAAACAGGATCAGCAAATGATACATCAGAAGTACAGAACTCACCTTACATACTTCTATACAAGCTGTCTGCCTATGTCAGTCAACAAAAATTCTATTTCTGTTTCTTGATGTAAAGTATTGCATCCCAAAGAATTATACAGAAGAATTGCTTTGAACCATATATCATATAGGAACCATAGTGTGAGTAGAGTACATCTGTGACATTCACTAAAGCCACCTGATGTTTTTCAGGCTTTTGAACAGCTCTAAAAGAAAAGTACTGCTGCTCTAAGCATTACATTCATTAAAAGTAACATTGTTAGCGGAAACAAGTCCTATTAAGCTGATTTATTGCTAAAAACCTATGCACAGGAATCTTCTCAACTAATGGACAGCATCTGCTTGGAGTTAGATAAGGGTGAACCAAATTCAAGGGGAGGTTGGACTTAGTCCATTTGTGGCTATGTAGAGATTCTAGGCTGATCCCTCTTTTAACTCTGCCTCTTGCCTCTGCCAGTCCTTCTCCTACAAATACTATAGTTAAAGTATGGCTGTGTGACACATGTAAACCAAAAGTCAGTGCTTCAGTTGTGTATGTGAGCCTGGTGGTGCAGTGGTTAGAATGCAGTATTGCAGGCTGAACTCTGCCTATAGCCAGGACTTTGATCCTGAGCGGCTCAAGGTTGACTCAGCCTTCCATCCTTCTGAGATAGGTACAATGTGAACCCAGATTGTTGGGGGCAATAGGCTGACTCTGTAAACAGTTCAGAGAGTGCCATAAAGCACTTTGGAGCAGTATAAAAGTCTAAGTGCTATTCCTATGTGTGGTTCCCTGATTCCTACCCTACCCATCTTGTCTCTTATCATCTAGAAATGACCACCATTTGGAGAATTGGATCCTGCATCTGAGGCACATGCTAAATATACATGCAATATCTAAATACTCTATAATGCACAGCAAGTAGATTCAAACCAATATACTATATTGAGTAAAGACTATGAGACATTAGACTATGCGCTGCCTAATTAAAAAAAAAGTCTATTCCATATCTGAGTATAAAATACAAGGTGAGACTTTGCTTTAAATTAGTTGAGTTGAAACCAGTTGCTGAGCCTTAGTGATCAAGGCGGAATTCACTGCTGCATATCTCATGTTAAGTTAAACAAAAGCTGTCCTCTCATAGTCCAGGGGTTCTCAACTTTGGCAACTTTAAGACTTGTGGACTTCAATTCCCAGAATTCCTCAGCCAGCTTTGCTGGTTGAGAATCCCTGTCATAGTCTTTACTCAATACAGTCGATTGGTTTGAATCTACTTTCTGTGCATTATATAGTAAGTTAGAATAACAATAACAGGTTAACAGAATAAAAGAGTTAGAAGTGACCTTGGAGCTCTTCTAGTCCAATCCCCTGCTCAAGCAGGAAATCCTATACCGGGCGTAGGCAACCTTGGTTCTTTTATGACTTGTGGACTTCAACTCCCAGAATTCCTGAGCTAGGCAGCCTTGGTTCTTTTATGACTTGTGGACTTCAACTCCCAGAATTCCTGAGCTAGGCAACCTCCAGTGTCTGGAGGCAAGTCACTCCACTGATTAATGGTTTTGTCAGGAAATTTCTCCTAAGTTCCAGGCTGCTTCTCTACTTGATTAGTTTCCATCTGTTCTTGTCCTGCCTTCAGATGCTTTGGAGAATAGGTTGACTCCCTCTTCTTTGTAGCAACCCCTGAGATATTGGAACACTGCTATCATGTCACTCCTCGTCCTTCTCTTCATTAAACTGAACATACCCAATTCCAACAACCATTATTCATATGTTTTTGCCTCCAGTCCCCTCATCGTCTTTGTTGCTCATCTCTGCACTATCTGCACTAAAATGCACTTCTCTCCATCTGCACTCTGCACTAAAATGCACTATCCAAGCACAGAGAAAGTATAATATGTGGTCCCTAATGACCGTATGATTTTCATTTGCATTAGGTATTTATGAATTTGTTTATAGTATTTATGTCTTTGTGGTCTTTCGTGTGTGTTTCTGGACCCGTTTTTCTCAAGACAAACACATATTATAGATACCCCCAATGAAACTTAGTTTAAGTGAGTGTTAAGTCTTTGGAAGAAAAAATCAGCCATTTATCTGCCAAACCTCAGTGGCACGATTTTAGAGAGCCAGAAAGTCACAAATGCAATGTTTGGGAATCCCAGTTGCAATATCTGGGATAAGAATAAATATTAATTGTTTATCAAAACATGTACATATCATATCATAATGTACACGAATTATGATATGATATAGATACATTCTGCACTGACAAGTGTGAAATGAATAACCAATATTTAAACTGAACATATTTTAGGCATCGCATCACATCTATCTGTAACACAGAAAGCAAGCTAATGTGCAAAATTCAGGAGTTATAGCTATCATGCTCAAATTGAAATGAGTTCATGGAAGAAAAATGCCTAAAAGAAACAGAAATTAGGGGTACAGGGGAACTGCCTTGAAACTTCGGAAGAAAAAACCTACACTAATTTGTATTAGTCATCAGGAACAAAACAACAGTGATTCTTATGCAACACAGGCATTTCAACACTGTTATTAACCAAGAAGATTAATTAAAAGGCAAAAGCCAAGAATGACATGGTCATTGCTGAGAAGACTTTAAGATTATAATAAATGCCTTTTCTTCTAAAAAATAGTAAGAAAAATATAGTGCACGACTAATAAGAAATTATGCTATCTATTTGCATGAAACATCTGTCACTTTGCACTCTACATTTACCTTGGAAGAAAAGTGTTCAACTTGATGGAACAAAATTCTCTAAAGTGAATTATCAGGGACAAAGCACCTAAAACTGAAGGGAATATTGGAAATTCTATGTTGTTTTTGAACTGAATTTTCTATAAACAAAAATATTCTTCATACATATGATGGAGACAAAACATAATCCAAATAAATAAAATAGTAACACATCCCATGGGGTCAAGGTACTTGTTGATATGTAGATGATTACTTAACATACATTTTGTACCCATGGAGAAAAAAAACATCAATATAATGATTGATTGATTGACTTATTGATTATGTGCCATCTAGTCAGTGTTTTAGCAACTATATACTATAGATGGATTTTCTCCAGGACATTAAAAGAAGACGAAGAGTTATATTGGTTGTGATAAAGGTTGGAGATCAGTTCTTTATATATTTCTTTTCTTTTTCTTCTTTCTTTTTCTGCACTTTTTTTCTATTCTCTTCTTTTTCTCTAAGTGCATTGGTTTTTTATTGCTGTAATCAAATTCTCAGTAAAAATTATATTATAAAAAGTTTAGTAAAAATCTGGAGATTACTTACTGTCACAAACATAAGGTTTGTCATGGTCATCCATAGAAGAAACATCATTCCTTCGCCTACCACCACCAGAGCCTCGGGCCTAGAATGAAACCAAGATATTAATGCAAAAACTGTGCCTTATAGTTATCCCAAAACGTTAAACTCAAAATAATTTTACAAATCCTACAGTGAACTTTCTGCTTTGTCATCATTACTATTACATACTCATGAGAATAGCTGCTCTTGAGCAGATTAACAAATTTGCACTAGCTTTGAAAATATGAAGCTACTTCTGATATTGAGTTGAAGAGCTGCTTGTAGATTCTGCAGCACAAGAAACATACATCTGTTCTAGTCATCGACTGTCAGGAAGATGTAACAATTGTGTCCACATAGGTTGGTAGAACAATATGCTTGGGTACTACTAGGGTCCTCAAACAACATTAGTACTGCTGTGCTGGTCTTCTTTCTTATCTAAGTTGCAGCTTCTGGAAATTGGGAAGTTCCCATTTCATTGTTCCACATTGCCTTGGACCAGGTGGGAATTGCAACATAGCAACAAGTTCACTCTTTCATATCCTATTTGAATTCTCAAAAGAACTACAAAGAATTTGTGAAATGAGGCTTATTAAAATTAAATTAAAAATACATGCTGCTAGAATTAAGAGAAGCAAAAAATAAAATACCTAATCCTATATATGTACGGTACCTTGATTTCTAAATGTCTCTTTTTTCAAAATCGTGGTTGATGGGGTGTGTACGTTAGGTTACCACTGAATAATTTTACTATCACTGTTATGCATACTGTTGCATAATCATTTGCAACTGCACCTAATCTTCACTGAAGTGTATAAAATATGAAGTATACAAAATAAGCATGAAAACATCCATGTTAGCTGTATAATTTGTGCTTTAGAGTCTCAGATTTTAGTGCTCCACCATTTTATAAATCCTCAAATTGCTTTCTGTGGATTCACATGTCTTTGGCCTTCGAATCTCTTTATCAACATTCCCATAATGGCCTCAGGGGGTTGGCAAAGAGACAACCACCCTAGAAGCACAAACTGAGAGCTTCATGCATGCTCTCACTGCTTCAGTCTGTGGCATTTAGTCATCTACAGCTGCTTTCAGCTTCTGCCATCATATAGCAAGAATTGATGTATACAGCTGAAAAGCTTCAGCGGAGCAGCTTTGGAGCACTCTAATGCAGCCAAATGGGAATGCTTGCCAGGAGGACAGATGAATGCACCCAGATTTAAAAATGAAATCATGCTGTGGAAAGAAAGGGACCTGCACAAATTTGGAAGGACTGGCATATTCATTCCTCTGTATTCTTTCTGCCTTGGATCCTTTCTTATTAGTTCTCTGAAACAATTAATTAGGAACCTACATTCTAGATATAATTTAGAAGATCCAGATTGCTTCAGACAATCTATTGCAAGTGGCAGCTGAATGCAGAGGAGAAAGTCCCATTTATTTTAGAAGAAAATCTGGTGTACATAAGTCAATCACATGTTTTGGAAGTATTCCAAGGAGAGAGACTAAAGCTTGGAAATGAATGTGAAAAAATTAGAATACATTAAAGCAAGGGTGGGCAAGTTGATAAGATTTACTTTATGCTTTATTTTTTATAAGCTGCAAAAGCTAAAGGTAAAGGTTTCCCTGTTCAGCTGTGGACAACTCTAGGGTGTGGTGCTTATCTCCATTTCTTGGTCAAGGGAGCCAGCATTGTCCGATGACATTTTCCATGGTCAAGTGGCCAGTGTGGCTATATACCAAAGGTGCACAGGACACTTTTACCTTCCCATCAGAATGGTATCTATTAATCTACTTGCATTTGCATGCTTTCAAATACTAGGTGGGCAGGAGCTAGGACAAGTAACAGGAGCTCACCCCATTGCACAATGCTTGGGTATCAAACCTGACAAACCCAGCCTCTTTAAATGCTGAGCCATTGTGCCTCCTTTTAGAGCTGCAAGGTCCATCAATTAAGGCTAGGTGCAAAACAGTGTCTCAAGAAATCAATGTCCTTCATTCCATGAGTCATATAGATAGTCCTTGACTTACAACCTTTCACAGGCTGAAAGCCTCAGAATGCATACTATATGGCCAGTAAAGCACTTCTAGGCATTGTAAAACATTGTGATGGCTTGCCCAACTCACATGACTGCATTTCAGGAACTTGGCAATCTATTTGTACTTACAACATGTTGCAAAATGCCCTGCAATCATGTGATCACCATTTGCAATCACTACTGCTGGCTTGCCCAAAGAGTCAATGGGGAAGCCAACAGGAAGGTTGCATGAGGTGTGCTTGCTGCATTTGAGATCTATTCTCCCTTGTATTGAAGGATTTCCCCTCTCTTCCATGCACATGTGAGTGGGTGGGGGTATAATTCTCCTGTGTGCTGGAGGAACATACCTCAAATCTAGCTAAAAATGTGAACAAACACCAACTTAATAACTGCCACTGGGAGAGCCAGGATTATGATTGTTAAGTGAAGCAGTCATGTGGCATCTAGCTTAATGACTGCTTCACTCAACAGCCAAGATTCCAGGCCCATTTGTGGTTATAAATGGAGGACTATCTGTACACTAGACCATTGTTTATACAGTTTATACAAAAACTGAATCTTAATTTTACAAAATTTTACAGAAACTTAAAGTAGCCAGCACGACTACCCAAAATCCTTGTCAAAAGCAACCAATTAATAACCACATTCAACTGATGAGGAATATGAAGGGCAAGAACTATGTAATTAGCACATGATCAGACATGGCAGACATCCTTAGTTTGTCCTGGCAATTTTAATTCCTATTACTAAATTATTGAGAGTCAGAATACCTTGGCAATCCTCAGAGAATCTCTGAGTAATAATAGCATCAATATACAAAGTTCAACTTGCAAGGATTAGCAAAGGAAAGAACTAAGTTTCAACATCTTTATTAATTCCTCCTCTGAGGAGGTTCGTTAAAGTTAAAACAAGGACACCTTTCATAAGGCCAATATGATATTTCTGTTTTCTACAGTTGGGATTACATTAAAAGTAGACGTCTAGCAATATGCTCTGTTTTAATTGTTATCTTATTAAATTAGTAATTGCTTTTTAGTTTTCAACATGAAGTTAGGTATTCACCTAAATATATAAAAATCAATAATAAGTTTACATTTTAATATAAGGATTCAAATTATGGCATCTTGCAAAGGATAAGAGAAAGCAAGGAAATGACAAAGCAATTCATCTTTCATTGAGATATTGCACAGTTCTACCGGACAAAGTAGACTGATCTATCAGCTAATATACTAGGACCATGATCAGCCTTAACATGATAGAGAGACTTCATGTGTATCCTCTCAACTGAGATCTGAGTTGGAATAGTTTAATGGTAAAGCAACTACTGTGCTTACAGCTTGGATAATCTGCAGACACATTAGGTTTTTAATCAAACATTTTTAAAAAGTGTTTCTAACATCTTTTTAAAAATTATTCCTAGGATCTGGAAAAAATAAAAGAAAGAACTTGTTTTCCCATTTGTAGCATCCTATCATTACTTATGGGCCTTAGCTTTTTCCCAGTTATTGGAGAGAATGGACAAAAGGTTGCCCATTCCTGTAAAGTTACTACAACTGATTTACCAATATGGACAGGTTTCGGGTTTTAAAATTAATAATAATAAGACTAAAATATTATCTAAAAATATGACTAATCTGGACAAGCAGATTTTGGTTAATCTGACAGATTTTGAAGTTGTTGATAAGATAAAATATTTGGGGGTTACTTTATCTGTTTCTAATGTAAAATTGTATAAAAATAATTATGAAAGGCTGTGGGTCAGGGTACAGAAAGACTTGAAGAATTGGGAGAAGTTACAGTTATCTCTTATGGGAAGAATTGCAGTGATTAAAATGAATGTCCTACCAAAATTTCTTTTTTTGTTTCAAATGCTACCTATTTTAAAGAATGAGATTAATTTAAATGAATGGCAGAAAGGCATTAATAAATTTATTTGGGCAGGGAAAAAACCAAGGGTAAAGCTTAAAATTATGCAAGACTTCCGTGAGAGAGGTGGACTCAAGGTACTGAATTTGAAATTATATTATGATGCTGTGGTTTTAACATTAATTAGTGATTGGGTAAATTTAACAAATGTAGAAATACTCCATCTGGAGGGTTGGGATTTACTTTTTGGATGGCATGCCTATTTAATTTTTAATAAAAAAGTGGATCGGGTTTTTAAATCTCATATTATAAGGATTTCTCTACTTCGGGTTTGGAGGAAATATTATAAAAGTGATTTTAAAATACCATTATGGGCTATACCTTGGCATGCGATAGAGGGGATAAGGAGAGGAGTTAAAATGGATAAGGTCTCTTATACACAACTACTTAGATGGGATGGTCAAAATTGGCAGTTAAAATCTTTGGAAGATTTACTACATGAAAATATTGCCTATTCATGGTTTCAATACAGACGAATACTGGTTAGATGGAAGATGGATCGTAATATGGGCTTGCTCAGAGAAGATGAAAATCTTTTTAAACATGTAAAGGATCAAAGGCGAACTCACATTAAGAGAATTTATGGGGTTCTAGTGGAACTGGACTCAGAATCAGAACTAATTAAAGACTGTATGATTAAATGGGCACAAAATTTTGGTGAACCAGTTCTACTGGATACCTGGGAAATTATGTGGGTGAGGAATGTCAAATTTACACAAGCCCAGAATTTAAGGGAGAATTTTTATAAAATGTTTTATAGATGGCACCTTGATCCACAAAAAATGTCTCTTATGTATCCTGACTTACAGCCTAAATGTTGGAGATGTGGTTGCCTGGATGCCACTTATTATCATATTTGGTGGTCGTGTAAAAATATAAAAGCTTTTGGGATTAAGATATGGTGGAATATTCAAAGAATTTTTAGAAAGAGGGTAAAATTTACTCCACAATTGTTTTTGTTAGGTATTGTTACTGATTGTGATGCCAAGGAGGTTATATTGATGTTAAATTTGATTACAGCCGCAAGGCTGTTAGTAGGGCAATACTGGAAGAAGGAATCTTTGCCTACCTTGCAAGAGTGGTTTTTTAAAGTTTCTTATCTGGCGGAAATGGCAAAGATTTCGGCTTTTTTAAAGGAGCAATCGCAAGAGAAATTTTTTGCCGTATGGGAAAAATGGATAAATTTCACACAATACAAATTGGATATAAAAAAATATCATTTAGCTTTTTTATAACTTGTATATAAATTTTGATATTTTATAGATTGCACTTTTTCTCTTTTTTCTTTTTTTTAATCTCTTTTCTTCTTTCTTCTTTCTTTTTTTTAAGCACTTTTTTATGCTTATGCTTTTTTTGTTATATATATTTTATTGTTAATCATTTTATAAGTTGTTTAATTTTTTTTAGGATTTTTAAAATTTTAATTAAGCCTATATTCAGCTCTGGGAAGCTCGGGGGGGATGGAGGGGGTGGTTTGGGAGGAGTTGGGTGAGGGTTGTTTTGTTTTTTATTGTTGTCTTTTTGTTCTTTGTAAAAAATTTTAAAAAATTTTCAATAAAAAAAAAGGTTGCCCATTCCTGTTCCATAGCAATTATGCCTCTACAGAAACTACAGACCATAGTTGCTCAAAGTTGGCAAGTTCTCCCAAGTTTGCTGAGGAATTCCAGAAGTTGAAGTTCACACAACTTAAAGTTGCCAAGTTTGAGGAACACTACAAATAGAGCATTACCACTGTCAGCAAGAAATCTGAGATGGGCTTCAATATATTGTCATGTCCATTTCATACTTTCTGCTAAACTTGCAGGAAATGAGAACTGAGGCTATGTATATGACATATATGAACAGGAATGACATGCCTCTCCAAATTCCATGTGATCCAAGCAGTGACAGAACTTCGCCACTTCATGGAACAATAGTAATGGATTGTTGACAGAATTCTAATTCCTTTATTCCCCTTAAGTACCAACTCAACGTTAACTTCAGGTGATTCATACAATGGGCTAAAAATGAAGTAATAGATGTTGAACTGTTCCATGGCAGACTGAAAATGGAATGTCCTTTATGTTTTCTTGATGTCCCTTGGTGTAAACAGCTCCCTGAATTTAATGAATTAATTGGCATATCAGAGAAGGTGCTTGCACTTAAAACGGTATATAAGTCTCATAAATAAATAAATAAAAGGTGACGGTCTCTCCTTCTTGCACTGTCTCAAGTTCCGGAGTTATGGCTTCATTGTTATAGGATGATACTTGAAGCCTTAAAATCACAGTCTGGAATTCTATTGCCTGGAATCCAGGTTGCAAATAGCAATCCATATTTTGAGACTAGAATGGGCCTCTCAACATTGCTAAAAAGGGAGCAAAATGAAATGCCCATATGCACAAATATTGCATACATGCATGAATATATATTGATGCCAGTTTAGGCATCAATTGCTGTGTTAAACAGAAGTAATATATTAAAATAATAGAGTTGGAAGGGACCTTGGAGGTCTTCTAGTCCAACCTACTGTTTAAGTAGGAGACCCAATATCATTTCAGATAAATGGTTTTCCAGTCTCTTCTTAAAAACCTCTAGTGATGAAGCACCCACAACTTCTGAAGGCAAGCTGTCCTACTGTTTAATTGTAATAACCATCAGGAAATTTCTCCTTAGTTCTAGGTTGGTTCTCTCTTTCATTAGTTTCCATTCATTTCTTCTTATTTTGCTTTCAGGTGCTTAGTTTAGAGAATGGTTGACCCTGTCTTCTTTGTGGCAGCTCCTTAGATATTGGCACACTGCTATCACGTCATCCCTAGTCCTACTTTCCATTAAACTAGACATGCCCAATTCCTGCAATTGTTCATATGTTTTAACCTCCAGTCCTCTAATCATCTTTGTTGTTCTTCTCTGCGCTCATTCCAGAATCTCAACATCTTTTTTTATATCGTGATGACCAAAACCAGATGCAATGTTCCAGGTGTGGTCTCACCAAGGCATTATAAAATGGTACTGATACTTCACGTGTTCTTGATTCTATCCTTCTGTTAATGTGGCCTAGGATAATGCTGGCTCATATTTAAATGGTTGTCCACTAGGATTCCAAGATTCTTCTTCCAGTTAGTACAATTGAGCCAGGTACCACTTATTCTATACCCGCGCATTTGGTTTTTCTTGCCTAAAAGTAGAACCTTACTTTTCTCTACTTCTACCCTACTTTAGAACTTTGTAGGGTTTGGGCAAGGGGACTGGCCTCTTTACAGTAGCCATGTAATTCTAGGAAAAAGGCAGCTTCTCTCCTGAGTTACACACTAGAGCTGCCTGTGCACATCCAGGTGTTCTGAATAGAAATTGAAAGCACAGTACTGCATGGTTGGGAAGATTGTAATCAGATAATCTCTCTGCCAATTCTGTTTTCTATCAGAGTACTGTTACTGACAACTCAAGACCCTGTTCTCCATTTTTTTTAATGTATAGCCTGGAATAGTATCAAAGAGTTCTTCAAATTTTCAGTAAGAAAAATATTTTCTAATAGACCCTAATAAGGAGCAGATGTGGACCAGCTCTAAAACTTACTCTGTTTACTACAAACTTACTCTGTTTGCTTACTAACATCCCATCATTCAACAAATTCAAAAATACACTCTGGAAATAGGCACAGCTAGGGCCAAGATGGTAGAACAATCAACAGGTGCAGCTATGTCTGCCTCTGTGTCCTATGGTCATCCTTAAGTATCAAACTGACAATGTGCCATAGATGTAAAATCCTAAAATAAGAGAAAATTGCTTGTTTCTATTTTTTAAGCACTGCAGATTTCCAAACCCTTGCTAAATTAGTGCAGGGTGGTTAGTGACCCAGAGCTGCTTCTTTCCCGCTCCATCTTTTAATGAATAAATAAAATGGGAATAATGGCCATCTTACTTTAAATGCTGAATTGCTTCATCTGCAGAGAGTAGAACTTATACAATTTTCACAGACACAATGGGCAAAGATTGCAAGCTTCCCCCCCCCCCCCATGCCCTGCCCCAACCTGAACTTTCTTTTACTCTCAGTTCTTGGCTAGAAGAAAAGTGTGGGAAAAGAAAGAATGGAGAGGTCACCTCAAATATACTTTTTTCTCTCTCTTTAGAATGCACTCCGCCCCATCTCCCATTAGAACAGAGCAAACCTGCATTTAAAGTGATAAAGAGGAGATTTTTTTGTAGCCCCCTAATTCTAGCACTGGATGCATCCTGCATTCTGTACGTAGCATCTTCTAGTGTACCTGGAAACAACACAGCTCTTGTTTCTGCCAACTAGGACATTTACTATGAGGCTGCTGATGGAGTAGATCAGTCCTGGTGAATATAATAGAGTTCTCTGCTGGGAAGCTGCTCCAGGGACCTTGTAGGGGCTGGACTTCTCTCAGTTCCGAGAGCCTGCAACAGTTCACCCCAGTGGGCTGAGACAGCCAAGCAGCAGCAACAGTAGGAGGTGAGGTGAGCTATCTGCCTACTGCGTGGGTTTCTTGCCAGGGGACCTGATTAGTGAGAGCCTGCAGCTGGAGCATCATGTGGAGAAGACTGATCAATAGCCAGCTCGTCCCTGCTTTGAAACTGCCAAGGGGGGGAGGGAGGGAGGGAGGGAGGGAGGGAGAGAGAGAGAGAGAGAGAGAGAGAGAGAGAGAGAGAGAGAGAGAGAAAGAAAGAAAGAAAGAAAGAAAGAAAGAAAGAAAGAAAGAAAGAAAGAAAGAAAACAAGCAGCAAATAGTGCACGTTATGTGCCATCACTATATATGAGTGTTTTCTATATCATTTCACTTTGTGATGGCTTTATACTAAAGATCAGAGAGCGGAAAAAAGAAAAACACCAGTGAGCCACCCACAGAGAATTTGCAGGTGTGAATTAACTACCACACATATTTAATTGATCATCCTACAGTTTTAGAACATACCACATACCACTGGGTGTCATTAAACTTTGTGCCTCTGTATGCATATATATAAAGATGGGCAATATATAAAGATGCAAATTGGGATTATTCTCTCCTCCTCCTCCTCCTCCTCCTCTTTCCCACAAGGCTAAAGCAGCTTACCCGTCCTCGGGGTCTGTTTTTTCGTTTTGGAATATCTTCTTCTATCTCTTCCTCTTCGTTCACTTCATCTGCATTCTCATCGTTTTCCAAAACCCGCTGGAATTGAAATAACAAACAATAATTAAAAACAAATCCCAGTGCAACGGAAGGCCTTTTGAGCAGAATTTAGCAGAGAAAATATATCACAGAAAGAGAGATCTGGGAGAAGCCACTTAGGTCAAGTCCAACCTCCTATTTTGCCAGGACACAAATTAAATCACTCCTACAGTAATAGATGAATCCACTCCATGAAGGGGCGCTTTCCACTTTTTCTAGGAGATTGGTTAGGCTCTCAAATTGCTTTTAATATTACAGAAACTATTTGGACATTCAGCTGAAATCTGCTTTTCTATAACTGAAATCTATTAAATTTAACTTAAACCCATCCATGGCCCATACTTTATCATACATCCACTGTTGTCAAGGATAAACAGTCCCTGTTCCTTCAACCTCCCTAGATAAGACTTGATTTTTGGTCCCCTTATCAAACTTAATTGCTTTTTCTGAAATCTGATTCAGTTTGTCTGAATCCTTCTTGAAGTGGAGCCCATAAGGTGGTACAGAATTTAAGGCCAAGCTCACACATTTTATATCTGGCTAAAGAGATTTGAGAAAGTGATAACCTTACAATTCAAAAGTATCTACAGGATACTTTTACGTCTAAATCAGATTTCCAAGTGGGATATAAAGTAGTTTGACTTAGTTGTCTTGTTGGATATCTTATACTAGAAACTGGATGTAGGAGAGAAAATTTAGCTTTATTCTATAGGGGCATTGTGATGGAGTGGTGGCACTGTTGTTACAGTGCAGTATTGCAGACTAACTCTGCTGACTGCCAGCAGTTCGATCCTGACCGGCTCAAGGTTGACTCAGCCTTCCATCCTTCTGAGATTGGTAAAATGAGGACCCAGATTGTTGGGGGCAATAGGCTGACTCTGTAAATTGCTTGGAGAGGACTGTAAAGCATTATGAAGTGCTATATAAATCTTAAGTGTTATTGCTGTTGCACTGTAGTTCTGTTCATTTCTTTTGACTTTTCAACAGTTTTAATACTATTAATCTAGACTTCGTGTGTGTGTCTGTCTGTGTGTGTGCGTGTGTGTGTGTGTGTGTGTGTGTGTGTGTGTGTGTGTGTGTGTGTAAAGGTTCCAGTCTTTACTGTCAAGCCACCACCAGAAGGTAAGGTTAGGAAATTATTGCTCAAAGCCTAGGCCACTGATTTTTTCAGTACCACAGATGTGTCAACATATACATGAAACTCCTGGAGGTATCACCCAGCACATTAGAATAGATACTATCAACATGCTGAGAACCCACACAGTGATATTATTCCTTATCATCCAAGTCCTCCAAAATGTTTACTAGGTGAAATGCCTAATTTCAAGAAGATGCGTAAAGAGTACAGGATTAACTTTGGGCAAAGATAGAGGTATTGTTGGTTAATAGGTAAACTGCCATTGAGATCACAGTTCAGATTGTACTAGATAAGAATATTAATCTGCTAAAAAAAAACAGGTCCACAAAGCAGGAATGCTACTTTATCCTTGAATGACACTGGATTCTCAAGAAGTGGAATTACACAACCACAGTTAGAATACCAGCTATTAACAGTTCTAATGGCTTAGGAACAACTCATCTTGACTATTGCATTTTACTTAGGGCTGTTCTTAGAAACTCTCTTAAAGCCTTCATTGTCTGCCTTTATAAAATCTGAAAAGAAACATCTCTTTAGCCAAGCTTTTAACATGCAATGACATTACTAGGCATTTTATTTTTTCAATTTTGTAATTGTTTTGTTTGAGTGTGTAATTTCTGTTTTAAATGGTAAACCACCTTAAATATCCCATTTGAATGAGAAGAATATAAATCAAGTATATTTAATTAAGTATTCCTCCTAGAAATAGTGATATTATTTTGCCAATATGATTTGATTATATCAGGGATGCACACTTTTTCTCTTTTGCTGGTCATTAAGTACAATGCTAATGTGTGTTCTAAAAAGTATTTGGGAAGAAGGACAAAAATAAATTGGTAAATTCTTTGAAGTATAATTAAAGTCAATTAATATAATTACTCCTCATGTATTTAATCATTTTTCTTTGCTGCATTTTCCATACTAGATGCTATAGCAAAATGGATGAATGAATGATGAATAAAATTTGTTGGCAATTTTTGAAGTGCCACCTGCAGCTGTGTTCAGTGCTTCTGAGGACCTCATGCAGTCTTAGGACCTCAAGTTGTGTGTGGGGGTTTTGTCCCAGATGGAAGAAGGATGCTTTAGAAAGGCTAATTTGGAAATAAAAAGGCATCAGAGCAATAGCTAAATAAGGTGATAAAGAAGCTGTAATCTGACAATAGAAGACTCCCTGTTCTAAAGATATATCTTCCATTTCCCATCTAGAAGGAATCTGTTTTTACAAGTTCTTATTGCTAACACAAATATTTATCTCCAAAATGACACTTGTAGTTCCCATCACTTTTTCTGCAATGGTTTTACAAAATTCTGAACTATTTATTTATTCAATCCATCTTCTTAAAGGCAACACGTACAACCTGGAAATAATGATTAATTAGCCTACTTACATATGCACATACTGTCCTACAGTTTATGAACTGAAAATGTGAGATTACCTGGATCTCTTGTAGAGTATCTTCTTCTTTAGCATCTATCTTTTTTTCAAGCCCTTCTCCACGCAACAAAGCTTCCAGTGTGGTCCCTTCTGATGTGAAGGCATCCTTCTTCAGAGGCAGGTCAACTTCTGACAAATCAAACAACAATGACTACTATTACTTCCTTAAAGTAAGCAACCAGAACAATGGATAGAATAGTCATACAGTTTTCAGTTTATTCACAAGAAAGAGCAAATGTCTTTAAACACTGAGAGATACAATTATTATTTTGACATGTTGATATATACAAAAGTCAAATTTGAACTCCATGAACTAGACTTGCTGGGAAAATATTTATCTAGTTGATAATTTGAAGAGAGCTTTTACGTGGAAATAGCTCTTAGCTGATGTGGCATCGGGTCATCTTGTCTAGTCTAGAAATGAAACAGCTCAACCTGGTTAGTAGTTGGAGGTGAAAGCTCCAGAAATACCAAGAAACATACATTATATTCAAAAGTTGGAAAAGATTCTGGGAAATGGCAGTGGCAAATCACTTTGGTTATTGCTGACAAGAAAACTGAGTAGTCATGGCCATGAAGTCCCAAGAAATTGAGCTCATCACAAAGAGACTTTTCTTTTAAATTGCCCAACAGTGAAAAATACACCTTCCCTTTTGACATGATGATGCATTCTTCTAGTCCAGGGGTGTCAAACTGCCGACCCACGGGGCAGTTGCATCATACGGAGACCACGCCCACCCCAACTCCAGTACTACAAAAAAGTTGTGATACGTCGCAACACGTCACATGATGCGGTGAGTTTGACACCCGTGTTTTAGTCAGTTTAAAGTACCACAATTGGGATAAAATTCTACAGCCTGCAGCTGGATTCCAATTACTCAAAGGACTTTTCTCTTCCCATGCCTCCACTTCATGCTTCCCAAAACCACTCTGGAGAGTCACAATGTTTTGCAAGTAGAGTTTGAGGACATTGATGGGCTTCTGTCAGTGGGAAGGAGTTAATTGGATTTTTAAAAAAAGGCCTCCTTTGACTCAGGCTTAAATTCTGGTAACTTTACAGGCACAAAATGGTATCTTCTTCCAAGATATACTTTCATGTCCCAGTCTAGCTTCCAACCCTGGTAATTCCCACACATGTCCCATCTAATTATTGACTAGCCCAGGCGCAATTTAGCTACTTGAGCCCAGACTCAATTGGGCAGGTACCACAACCTGAGTTAAACCAGGTAATGGGATGTCATCTTTTATGGCCAAGCACCAATTTGTATTTGTATGTTAGTAACGTATCATTAAGGGTTATCAATTTTCCACTCAAATATTAAAACAAACAAATCTGTTTCGATGTATTTTATAGCTATTAAGCTAATCTCATTCTGCTCTGAGAACAGATATCTGATCACGTTCCAAGAAATAAAAGAAATGCTGTTTCACACACATTGTCATTTCAACCCTGGATCCTTCCTGCCAAAATTGAGAGCATACCGATAAATAACTTTTCCTGTTCTCTCCCCCAGGGTCAAGGGTGAAAGGAAAAAAAAAAGAATAGATCCCTTCTACAAACAGTATTGTTTTGAAAAAAGGAGTGTATCATTTCCAGCATCCTAAAAACTTCCCCTTGTATTGTTTTGTTACAAATATAGAATTAGGGGAGAGAACTTTACATTCATTTTTTATTGTGCAGGAGGAGCTGCTTGTTTGATTGATGTCTTTTTTCTCTATTCTTTGCCGATAAAAAGGTTTCTTCTCTTCTTCATCTGTTTTGGTTAATACAGTCTGAACTGGCAAAAGATAAAAGATCAACAACCAACTTCTGTTTCTATATGACTGGCGAAAAGTTAAAATGGACACAAATCAGTGCCAAATATGCAGATGACAACATCTGGGCTTCAGAGAGTTAGGATCAGGCCCCAACCCTGCCTAAGTCATCTTCAAAAGGGTGTCCCATACCTGAGGAAGACAAGGACTCCATGGAGAACTGGTAATAGCCAATATCTCTCAAACGAATATGTCATGGCAATAGATGAGACTTGTCAAACACAAGGCCAGAGGGCTGGATGCGGCCTTTGAAGTGGTTTCATGTGGCCCGCGAAGCCATCCTGGAAACAGTGAGGGAACGGCCTCCACTGCCTTGGCCCTGGTTCAGGCCAGCCGGGAGCCAATGTACAATTTTGTGGTGGCCATCTTGGCACTTGCCCCGGTAGACCATGCCTTGGCACTTGCTCCGGTCCCACCCCTTTTGCCAGAGACCCTCAGATCTGTCCCACTCCTGCCCAGGCCCCCATAGGCACCCTTGACACGAATGATGTAGAACTGGCCACGCCCACCCAGTAGGCCACACCCATTCCATCCATGCCCACCCAGTAGGCTGCACCCACTCTGGCCACACCAACCCAGCCCCCCCCAGGGCAACCGCAATGCTGATGCGGCTCTCAGTGAAATTGAGTTTGACACCCCTGCAATAGATTAATATCCATTTGAAGCAATTATTGCACCTTTATAATTTTCTATATAAGGCATATAACTTTATAAAATTTTACTGCATAAGAAAAGAATACATCCAATGTAGCTCTTTTTTTTCTTTCTTTCTTTCTTTCTTTCTTTTTTTTTTTTTTTTTCAGAAGTGGTTGGCCACTGACTGTTTTCAACGGATGAGAAAGGGTGATCCGGGGTCACCCAACTGACTTCATATCTAAGGCAGGACTATTATATACAGTCTCCCAATTTCAAGCCTAATGCCTTAACAACTACACCCAACTGGGTCTCAAAGAAACGCTTTACACAATGCGCATATAAATAGTTTGTCCCTTGGATTCCTTGGACCAGTTTATTTTCATAAGCTCTATGCTGCAGCTGATTCTGATAGATACCATTTAACATGGCAGACCTCTTACAATTTTTTTAAAAATTGAAATGCATGAAATGCCTGGCACATCAGAGATCTACTGCTGGGTGAATGTAACCACGCAGCTCATTAACAAAACAAGGCAGAAAGTGCCTTAAAGGGCAACTGAGTGGCTCAATGAGCAATTACATCTCATGTCAGTTCCAAATTAGAATCTATCAACATCACAAGAGTATGAAATACCAGCTCCATTTCTTCTTCCCATTCTTCCCATTTTTATTTTATGGAAAGTATTTATGGCATTTATTCAAAACAACTAAAGTCAGAAAGACAATCATGAGGTATGCCAGGGGAAGAGAAAAAACAGATTAAGCTTGCTCTGCTGGGAAATACAAAGGGGGGAGGGGGGAAGGAGGGAGAAAGAGGGAGGGAGGGAGGGAGGGAGGGAGAGAGAGAGAGAGAGGAAGATTGTCTGCTAGCTGCAAAAGATACCCTCTTCTGGGATGGTGCTCTCTGCCAGCAGCTGGGAGGCCTCAAGGGAAATGGTGGTAGAGAATCCAGGCAAGCTGCATCCATCCATCCATCATATTGTATTGCTCATTTCCACATCTCCAAGGCATAAATGTAACATTAGAATGCAAAGTAGGAGATAGAGTTTTAGAAGTGGGGGATGGAGGGGGGGGGAGAATGTAGTATGAACATTCTTCCTTGAGTAGTTGATAGTTTAGATAAATGATGATGTCGTATCAACATAATACTGTGGAGCCTTTTTGTTTTAGCACTTTGCAAACTCCATCTCAATAGGGATTTTATTGACTTTTATTAGCTTCAAAAGCTTCTAAAATGAACCAAACAGCTTCCACATTGTCTTGTAACACTCATTCAATGCATTTGTCTCCCAATGTTAACCAAGCTTGACTTCATCCAAACTTGCCACTCTGCAGTTATTCTTGGGACATAACATGTTCAACCAGTCTCCTGCCCACAAATAATAATATTGTCCTCTGCTTATCCTGTGTGAGCAACAATGTTTTTGCTTTGATCTAGGAGAGCTCTTCTCTAGTTAATGACATCTTAATCAAACGTCTACAGATATATCATGCTCATTTTTTTAATATTCCAGAAAACAAGGGGCCTAGATTTTGTTGCGTTTTTTTTTTCACAAAAAAGCCAGGTAGTGTCATAAGATGAAAGAAAGCAAGACAGAGTTCACAACTTTATAGTTCCGTACTACTCTAGCATTAGAAATTACAGCAAAAAGCAGATGGCCTTTAATCTTCTAACTAATTCTGAGTTTGATCTAAAGAAGCTCTATTCCTCACATTATTTTCCTGCCTCATTGTCACCTTCATTTTTCAAGTCTCCACTTTTTAAAGACTCTGGTTCTCCTTCAAGGGCCTCTTTCCAAAGGTTAGTAAAAAAAAAATAAAGTCTGAAAGTTTTATCACATTCTTAGAGAAAACTGGTAGATCTTTCATAAAATGAACAATGTTCAAGCATAGTTAAAAGCAACCTAATTTTGCCCTTGTCGTCCTTATAGATCTTTTTACTATAGAGTGAAGTTCTTGCAATTTTGGATGTTATTGAAATAAATAAGATTTAGGAATGAGAGAATCTATACAAGGAAGGATTGTTGTCCATCTGAAACTCTACTTATCCATTGCATATTATGGATGAAAGCAAAAAGCTATAAGTTTTTCTGTTTCAGATATAAATGATGAGAGATTTCTTTGCAGTTTTGTATTCATTACGAGTTTCATAAATTCTACTTATCAAGAAAAAGACCAAATAATGTATAAAACTACAAAACCACAAAATACACAAGGGAGAATCATCCAGACAAAGTAAATGGCAACCTCTACGCAATATTAGATTAAAGTAACTTTGGTTTAAGGCCTCAATTTAAAAAATGCTGTCTTTGAAAGAGACAAACTGGGTATTTAACTATAGCATTCAAATCTAAGGAAGACCAAATCAGCCACAAATCCCCATGAAGATGTGTTCACTAACAAAAGATTGCCTCAGTATGGCATGTGATAATGGCTTTAGATGTAACAAAATGTTTCAAGAGATGTAATACCATATACTTATGTGGACAGCCACTATAATCAAAGTTTCCAGTCCTTTTATCAAGTCCCAAACCACCATTAAAAATCACTGTCAAAACTTCTAATCACAGATTCCTGCATCCGAATCCCTCCCCTCCTATTAAGTGCTCTTAAGCTTAAAAATTAAATTAAAATGAAATGACAAGATCACCACTTCACTACGTCTACTAAATAAGGAG